CTGGGATCTTTGGATCATCATCTTCATCCGCAGTAAGTAACCCTGGATGCGTTTGCTGCCTCTCCTGTGTCCTTCTGTCTTGGCCTCCGACTGGGAATGTCCTTGTGGAGCTTCCTGGCAATTGTCGCTGGCATCCCTACAGAGACCCCTCCCCATAAAGCACCCTTTGAACATGAACCAAAGTCCTGTTGGTCATTGCTTTGCACTCACTCCGTGCTCAAAGAAATTCACTTTCCACCTGACGGTTTTAATCCATCCTAAGCCTTCAATCCTGTGCACACTTAGCAGGGAGCCTTCCTTACACATCTTTAGGCCCCAGGCAAAAATGTTTCTCTCAAACCAGGCCTTGAACTTTTTAAGTGTGAGTTACTGGTTTGTTTTTGTTTTATTATGTATTCTGTGCTCTCATTTTGTATTTTTATTTGGAGAATCACCAAAATAATCCGAATATGAATGAGTTAAGGGACTGGATAATGTTTCCTTCCAGCCTCTTGGAATTTGTCCACTGCCTCGTTCCCCCATGTTGATCTTCTGATTTAATTTCCTCAATTTTTTCTACTTCTTTGTAACATGAGTTCCTTGAAAAGCTCACCTTCTGGGCTCCCCTTCCTTGGAGGTGTTCGAAAGAGACAGGAGAAGCATCTGCTGGGAAGGTTTCAGCATCTGAGAGCCAAATGGTTGGAATGGGATTGTGTGGCCTCTGGAGGTCCCTTCCAGCTCTGACCTTCTGCTTTTGTCTTCACAGAGAAACGGAGCGAGAAATCAGCCTACAAAGCAGCCTCAGGTGAGTGACTCCTCCCCCTCTCTCTGCCTGACATATTTCCCCCCACTATGGAGCAGGAACAGGTTACAACAGACCAAACCAAACCTGGTGGTGGCCTGGTCCTTAAGCAGAAGACCCTGATGGAAAGCTCAAGCCTGTCTGCTCAGCCTGTCTGTGGACAGCAAGGGGTCCCTCAGGGCCAGGAAAAGGCTGCAGAGAGACTGTCGGCTGAGGGAGGGGCTCCAGGAAGGAGCAGGAGGAAGAGCCCAGGGTGCGGGGAGAGAGGGGTCTCTGGGGGTTTAGTCTACTAGAACCTGAAGCTAAAGAATTGCTTGGGTGGCTCAAGTCTGTGGGTGTCAGGAACCCACCACTGCTCCCTCCCCAGCTTCTGCCTTTCTGCCCCCTTCCTGCCCAGATCGCATCCACCCCCGCTCTAGTCCCCTGCTGCCTCCATGCCAGGCTGTGCCCATCTCTCTTTGCCCTCCAGCACCTGCTTCTCCCTCAAGTGCTGTCCTTGAGCCCCCTTGCCTCTGGGCTGCCTGTCCCTGAACTCTTCTTAGGCCCCTCCCCAGATTGAGACTGATTTGGGATGGGGGTGGAAGGAGGGGGGAGAAGGGCTGGGGGATGGGATCTCCCTCCCCAGGATCCTGATTCCTGTGTTTCCTCCCTTTTGCAGCAAGTGACCAGGGGTCCAACAGCTCCGCCAGCGGTAAGTGGGGTGCAGGTGGGGGCAAAGTGGGGCTCTGGCAGAAGACTCCATGGGGAACATCCTCAAATGAGGAAAGGCTTCTGCTTTCCTGTTACCCACCTTGGGAATCATAGTTTGGGTTCTGAATGAGAGTCACATTTTGGGTTCTGGAAGGGATTGACTGCTGTGTGTCCTCCTGGCATTCCCCCAATGCGTGCAACTTGGCTCACTTACTTGAGCTGCCCTCTGCAGGCATTTGCTCTTCAGGCCCATTTTGGTGGTGCTCCTGGCATATCTCAGGTCTGATCTGACATGATGAGGGATGGTGGCTTTCCTTGGGAGACTGCACTAGATGTCCTTTGGGTTCCCACTAGCTCTGTAATGCTGATGTCCCCACACCATGATCCTGGCTTAACTTTGAAACACTCCTGTTCTTTATTTCTGCAGTTTCATACCAGCCCAGTGTGTGAGATGAGACCAGAAGGAGCCTGCCCAAGTTTGGCTGTGAATTGCAGAGGCTCAGATCCCCTCCCGTCCTTAAATGCTGTTTCTGATGTTTCTTAATCCTGGTTCTCACCCATCTATTCTGACTTCAGCTGTAACTTGTATTTGAGGATAATCATGTTTTTCGGATGGATTTTGGCCAATTTTGCTTTGCAACTGATTTTCAGAAATGTTCTTGTATTAATCAGAAATGTGCCAGATATACGCAACTAAAAGCTTTAAAAAGGGATGAGGAGATTGAGCATGACTTGCAGTGATTTTGAAGGTTTCTCTTGGTTCTTTGCTGCTGTGTTTCCCTCTACAATCCCTTCTCCAATCTTGTGTCCCTCGCTTGCCATCCAAATTGAAGGAAAGACAACATTTGAGAACTGCTTTAGGGGTATTATGTGTGAAATAGCCTACGTTGTTACTGCCTGCCTGCCTCTTGGGACGCCCAGCCTTAGGCTAAACGGATGTAATGTCTGATCCTGCTGACAACCAAGGAGAAAGCCATCAAGGAGGAGAGGCAGATCAGGAGCTTCATGGCCAGTTTGATCTGAAATAAGCAGCCCCTTCTTTTTGACTACAGGCCTTCAGTTCATGAGACTTGTTGCCTGGTCCCCACAGCCTTCTAGGAGGGGAGACCCACTGGGGGAGGGACCACATGAACTCCTCCAAGTAAACTAGTTTTGTTGGCCTTCAATTTGCCTAATTTTTATCTCGCACATTCTTGCTTTCTCACCTGTGGTCGGTTGAGGATCATACTTTGCCTCTCTGCGGTTCCCTCCATATGATTCCCGCCATCTTCCTTCCCTGCTCATAGACTGGCATTCCTTCAGGAAACTTTCATAGAAATAAGAATGCAATAACTCTTTTAGACCTCCAGGGGCTGCAGGACTCTTCTTGCCCAACCCAATGGATTTGCTGCATCTTGCTTTGAAGACACTGGATGTAATTATTATTATCATTACTCCTTTTGTAATATCTGTTTGACTGAAATAAATAAGAGTGCACCCCCTTCTTCTTTAGTGGTTCTTTCCTTCTTATCACAGGAGTTCCAGAGATTTTGAGGTTCTGAGAATATTCAGAGATTGTAGCCTCTGGCAGGGAGGTGCCAATAACTGCTCTTCCATTGCAAAGTGACTGAAGAACAAGTGTCCAAAGCGAGATGGGGATATAATCTGTGGTTTTGCAGGGGTGCACTTAAGTTACATGAGGCCGCTGTGTTGCTGAAGCCAAGAGGGTGTGAAGTCTGCTCAGGGCCTGGATGGGGAACCACCTGGATGCTGCCTTTGGTTCCAGGATGGAAGAAAGGAGGGTTGGGAATATAATAAAAGAAATGTGCAGATATCTGATCTGGGGCAGGGGGTGGTGGGAGGTGACCAAGGTGGGGTTGCCCCGAAAGTCCGCAAACCCAGGAGGAAGTTCTCCCACTAAGATGAAAAGAAGATGACCAAAATATTTATTTTAAATTTTTATCCCACTCTTCCTCCGAAAGCTCAGGGCAGCAAACATCAAAATATTAAAAGCAATACCATTTAAAAGATTTGAATCATTAAAATTTAAAATAAGATAATTTAAAACAAATTAAATCAACCCAAAATAACTTTAAAAGAGTTGGAATACTCTTACAGTTGTGAACATAAGAGGAGCTTCCTGGATGGAAATGGCTAATGGCCCGTGTGCTCCAGGCTCCTCACAGATGCCTCAATGGGCAGACCAGGTCAAGAGCAGAACATTGGGACTCTGCCCAGGAGAGATTAGCAGCACCTTGTGTTCAGAAGCATGCTGCTTCCGTTACGCATTTTGGGGTTGCCATGGACAGAATTAGGGATGGGGAATATCTGGTTTTCAACATCATGATATACCACCAGCTAAACATTGCAATATACAGTGGTACCTCGGGTTAAGTACTTAATTCGTTCCGGAGGTCCGTTCTTAACCTGAAACTGTTCTTAACCTGAAGCACCACTTTAGCTAATGGGGCCTCCTGCTGCTGCTGTGCCGCCGGAGCACGATTTCTGTTCTCATCCTGAAGCAAAGTTCTTAACCTGAAGCACTATTTCTGGGTTAGCAGAGTGTGTAACCTGAAGCGTATGTAACCTGAAGCGTATGTAACCCGAGGTACCACAGTATCACAATGTCTGAAATAAGGATGGAGCTATGTAGAGGCATCAGCTAGCTTCATGGTTTTTCCTGCATCCTGTATTTTTGCATAGCACACACTATGGGCAGCTCCCAACAGAATATTAACACATGATAAAATATCTGTCAAACACTAAAAACATCCCTAAACAGGACTCTTGGATTACTGCCTGTCCAGCACATTTCCTCTGTGCATAAATTCTTCCAGGCAGCAGCAGAGCGAGCAGCGAGTGCTTTCCGTGTGAAATAAAGGAAAAGTCTGCACGCTGTTTCTTCTATCTAAACAGCCTTTATTTACATCATCAGGTAAAATAACAAACGATTCCACTGGACAAAAGTGAAACTGTTTCACACAGACAAAGAAACTGCAGCTTCTGTTTATGTAGGAAGCTCCTCCCCAGATGTAGGACATTCAGGAGGTTAACCCTATAACCACCACAAGGACTGCCTTCTGATGTCTTCTAAAAGTCAGATAGTTGTTTATTTCCTTGACATCTGATGGGAAGGTGTTCCACAGGGCGGGCGCCGCTACCAAGAAGGCCCTCTGCCTGGTTCCCTGTAACTTGGCTTCTTGCAGGGAGGGAACCGCCAGAAGGCCCTCGGCGCTGGACCTCAGTGTCAAGGCAGAACGATGGGGGTGGAGACGCTCCTTCAAGTATACTGGGCCGAGGCTGTTCATGTCAGAATAATAATAATAATAATAATAATAATAATAATAATAATAAATTTTATTTATATCCCGCCCTCCCCAGCCGAAGCTGGGCTCAGGGCGGCTAACAACAATCAAAATAGCTCAACATTCTAAAACATTCATTATGAAATTAATTAAAATCAAATTAATGGCAACCATCAAGCAAAATTTTGTGCAGATTGCCAGAGGAGGGGGTCAGGCTGCACCCTGACAAAAGGCCTGGTGGAACAGCTCTGTCTTGCAGGCCCTGCGGAAGGATGTCAGGTCCTGCAGGGCCCTAGTCTCTTGTGACAGAGCGTTCCACCAGATTGGAGCCGCGGCCGAGAAGGCCCTGGCTCTAGTTGAGGCCAGCCTAACCTCTCTGAGGCCTGGGATCTTTAGGGTGTTTTTATTTGCAGACCGTAGATTTCTCTGTGGGACATACCAGGAGAGGCGGTCCCGTAGGTACGAGGGTCCTAGGCCGTATAGGGCTTTAAAGGTTAAAACCAGCACCTTAAACCTGATCCTGTACTCCACCGGGAGCCAGTGCAGCTGGTACAGCACCGGATGGATATGATCTCGCAGCGAAGACCCCGTAAGGAGTCTCGCCGCGGCATTCTGCACCCGCTGGAGTTTCTGGGTCAGTCTCAAGGGCAGCCCCACGTAGAGCGAGTTACAATAATCCAGTCTGGAGGTGACCGTCGCATGGATCACAGTGGCTAGGTCAGGGTGAGAGAGATAAGGAGCCAACTGCTTAGCTTGGCGGAGATGAAAAAATGCCGCCTTTGTTATAGCTGTAATCTGCGCCTCCATAGAGAGGGAGGTATCGAAGATTACACCCAAACTCTTCACGGATGATGCTGGCACTAATTGCACCCCCGCAAGAGACTGGAGTTGCCCCCTCAATCCCATATCGCTCCGTCCCAGCCAGAGGACCTCTGTCTTCGAAGGATTTAACTTCAACCGGCTCCCACGTAACCATCCAGCCACAGCTTCCAGACATCTGGTCAGTGTATCTGGGGCCGAGTCAGGATGGCCATCCATCAACAGATAGAGTTGGGTGTCATCGGCATACTGATGGCAACCCAGCCCAAAACTCCGGACAAGCTGGGCGAGGGGGCGCATAAAGATGTTAAAAAGCATCGGGGAGAGAATCGCACCCTGAGGCACTCCACACACCAAGGAGTGGCGCGATGACAATTCCCCCCCAAGCGCCACCCTTTGTCCCCGAACGGAGAGAAACAAGCGCAGCCATTGAAGGACTGTGCCCTGGATCCCCACGTCGGCAAGGCAGCGGTCCAGGAGTTCGTGATCGACCATGTCGAAGGCTGCTGACAGGTCTAGAAGAATCAGCAGCCCCGACCCGCCTCAATCCAGCTGCCTGCGGAGATCATCTGTTAGGGCGACCAGAGCCGTCTCGGTCCCATGGCCAGCGCGGAAGCCGGACTGGAATGGGTCGAGAGCAGATGTTTCATCTAGAAACCTACCAAGCTGTTCAGCAACCGCTCTCTCAATCACCTTACCCAGGAATGGAAGATTCGAAACCGGGCGGTAATTGGATAGATCTAAAGGATCTAATGATGTTTTCTTTAAGAGCGGACGCACCACTGCCTCCTTCAGTTCCCCTGGGAATATCCCAGTGCCAAGGGACAAATTGATGATATCACCCAGGGGGGCCTGCACCTCGTCTGGACATGCTCTAATCAGCCAGGACGGGCACGGGTCAAGAGGACAAGTGGTGGGCTTTCCAGCTTGGAGGAGTCTGTCCACATCGGCTAGGTCAATACATTGCTAGGTCAAAAAGCACCTGTCAGCTACCCAACACCTGGGTTAACAGGAATGCCTTTCAGCGTCTCCAGAAAGTGAATAAATGGATTTGTCTTTTGGTAATTTTGTTGTAGCTAAAGGTTCTGAGTTCCATCTTTGGCGTCTCCAGTTAGGGCTGAGATGAGGTTTCCTGTCTGTAACCCTGGAGAGCCTCTGCCAGTCAGTGGACAACACTGAGCTACATGGCCTCACTCTGTACAAGGCAGAGTGTTCTCCCCTTGAAAACAAGACCTTCTCTTGCTGAGGAAACTGGCAGCCATTTGGCAGGCCAATGTGTCCCTCAAGCACCCAGATCTTGTGTAGGTCCAGCCCCGGACTAGTGGGGCTCCCTTTGGCCTCTTGTGTTCCCATACCCTATAAGAAGCACCATTCTGCAGCCCCCAGAGACACAAAATTTCAAACTTCAAAGAGTTGTCACACGTACACATTTTATTTTACAAAACACTGTTTTCAGGCCATCATAGTCCTGGACAATCAACAGCAAGAGACCAAAAGTGCCTTAAGATATTTTTACAACATACTCAGAAACACCTAAGACATATGGGACCAAGAGACAGGATTGGGAAAGACGCCAGACTCCTTATTTAAGCAACTCAAGATGAAATCCTTACCTAGGAGTAAGCCCTATTGAACTCAGTAGGGCTTCTGAGCGGAAGGCTACTTGGAAAGAAGCTTTGGAAGGGGGGCTTCAAAAATGGGAGCTTGGGAACAAGACTTTCAAAGTCACAGCTTAAGTTCTCCTGGGGCAAATACTGATACTCCAAATTGTCTGCTATTTAACAGCTGCATAGTGATTACAAGGGGTGCCACACAGTCCTTTTCACACCCCACTTCATTGCTCTCCAAAGTGGGGCTCACACCCACTTTTCTTGCTAAGCCAGAGTTTCTGCACTCAGAAAGAATCAGCCAATTAGGTGAGTCTCCTAGGAGCCCCATCATGGCAGGAATTTGGGGCTGTGGCCCAAGATCCCACTCTGCAGAAGGCACAGAGACCCCCTTCTAAATGCAGTTATGCCACACACACGACCACCTCGAGAGGGGGACCCCAGAAGACCATTCAGCCTGTGCGGAAGTCACTCAGCCTGGCTCCTTTGCACCAGGTGGTAATAGGGGCCCCTCCGGCTCATCAGCTCAGAGTGAGTCCCCTCCTCCACAACCTCCCCACCCTCCAGGACGACGATCCTGTTCGCGTTTTCCACCGTCTGCATCCGGTGAGCGATCACCAGCACCGCCCTGGCCTGGCCGCTCATCAGTGACTGCTGGATCTGGGGGAAGAAGCCAGAAACCCCCTCTTAGATTTATTTTATTTATTTATTAGGTTTATATCCCAACCCTCCTCCAAGAAGCTCAAGGTGACGTATATGGGGCTCTTCCTCACAACCCTGCGAGGTAGCCTAGGCTGAGGCAGGGATGGGCTCAAGGTCACCCAATGAGCTTCAAGGCTGAGCGGGGATTTGAACCCAGGGCCCAGTCTAACACACTAACCATTGGCTGTGTGTGTGTGTGTGTGTGTGTGTGTGTGTGTGAAAGAGAACAAGTCAGAGAAAGACAGAGATTGAGAGATGTTTGTTTGTAAGCATTATGGCTCTTCCCGTGTTTTCCCACACAAGGATATAGAGCATGGAGTGTTCCACATTTTAAAAAAATTATTATTATTATTATTATTATTATTATTACCCTGCCCATGTTAGGTAGCCCAGCATTTGGGCGGCAGAATAGCATGCAGTCCAGGATAGATATAATTTTGTCATCCTATAGTTGGCCAAACTGGAAAAATAATGATAGAGAAACTGAAAGGATAAGGTCTAAAAGCTAACTGGCACTGGAAAATGCAAGTCCATTTATTAATATTATAAATATCAATAACATAGGCAAAGGTAAAGAACCCCTGGATGGTTAAGTCCAGTCAACGGTGACTGGGGTTGTGGCGCTCATCTCGCTTCAGGCTGAGGGAGCTGGCGTTTGTCCACAGACAGCTTTCCGGGTCATGTGGCCAGCAGGACTAAACCGCTTCTGGGGCAGCAGAACACCGTGATGGAAACCAGAGTGCACGGAAATGCCATTTACCTTCCCGCCGGAGTGGTACCTATTTATCTACTTGCACTGGCGTGATTTTGAACTGCTGGGTTGGCAGGAGCAGGGACCAAGCAATGGGAGCTCACCCCGTCGCGGGGATTCGAACTGCCAACCTTCTGATTGGCAAGCCCAAGGGGCTCAGTGGTTTAGACCACAGCGCCACCCGCGTCCCTACAATAATATAAAACCACCACACCCACTCATGGCTAATGCTTCTCATGTCAACCACAATTCCCCCCCCCCTGACACTCACGGCAGCTTCGCTCTCCACATCCAGAGCACTTGTGGCCTCATCCAGCACCAAGACCTTGGGGTTCCGGATCAGGGCCCGGGCGATGGCCAGGCGCTGCTTCTGCCCTGCGGACAGCTGCCTCCCTTCTCCCCGACATCTGCAGGGAGGCAGGAATGAGAGAGAAGGGGTGGGAAGAGGGAAAAAGAAAGCCTGGTTGCCAGAGGAGTGGGAGTGGTGGCAGGGGTGCAAAAGGCGAGTCGCAGGTAAAGGAGAATCCCGAACTCCTGGGTTCATTTGATGGGATGCAGTGAGCAGTTGGGTGGAAGGTCGGGCGCAGTGACAAGAGGAGCTGAGGCTCAGAGTCTGGAATTCTCAATTGTCACAAGAGACTGGAGCCCCACCAATTTTCCTGGAGGAATTCAGTGGGCCACAGAAATTCATGTTAGTGGGGAGAAGAGAGAGTAAGAATCAGGCCAGCTGCCCTTTCTGGAAGGAGAGTGGAGTTTAGCAGAGGCAAAAGGAGATGGGAGGAAAGAGATTTCACCCACCTGCGGCGAACCCTCCTTCCAGCTCATTGATGAAGCCTAAGGCGTTGGCTTCTCTTGCCGCAGCCGCCACCTCTTCCTGGCTGCAATCCTGCACCCCATGGGCGATATTGTCCCATATGGACCCAGAGAAGAGGACCGGCTCCTGTCCCACCAGCGCCACCTGCAGGCAGAATGAAGTGTGACAACTAGGGGGTAATTGGATTCAGTTTGCATTTAAAGCACACTCCACCATATTTGCACCTTCTCAAACAATGTAAGAACCGAAACACAGGTGAACCTTCAACATTCACAAATCTCTGAATTTTGCAACCCTGTTTTCCAACTCGAAGCGTTACAAAAATGTGTGTAGGAAATGAAGATGTTAGTGAAAACAGCCTACAAAAATGCTTTTTATTAGGAGAAATTGCTTGCAAAAATGCGTGCATTAGTCAAATCTGCAGACAATAACGTGTTCATTAGGAGAGATTTGCACTGAAATAATGAAATATTTTCATGCAGATTTTTAAAAGCAAAACCCACAAATTGCTGCATTAATGTACAGAACCAAATTAAAGTTGTAAAGATGAGAAACTGAGAGAAGAGGAAGGGGCAGGCCCTTCCATCCCTTCAAACATCTGAAGGAGGCTCTCGTATCCCCTCTGAACCATCCCTTCTCAAGGCTCAACAGCCGCAACTGCTCCTTGCAAGCATCTCCTTGTGGGAACTCATCTCCAGTCACCCTCCCCTGGACAAAGCCACAATTTACAGCTTAAGTACCAGGCTGGGATGTGTTTGTGTATCACGAAATCTCGGTGGGCATGGCCTTTTGCAACCCACATTTCCTCTCCTGTGCTCAGCCACACCCTGTCGTTTCCTCTTCTGCAGAAGATGCTTCCTGTTTAGTGAAAAACAGAACTGCCTTCCCCGTGGCACTGACAACTCTCTAACGTCCCAAAAATCCTTTGGAACTCCCTGTAGCTACATACTCTTATGTAGCTGCAGGTTATTACAATAATCCTGCCACTGTTTTTATCTGTTTACAATTTATCTGTAAATATTCAATAAACCATTTCCATTCTTTTATAAAAAAAAACTTGTTATCTTGATTTCTTATTCTTCCAGCAGTTTTGCCATTTCTGCATATTCCATAAGGAAGAATGGATTATGGACTGTGTGGTTTTATATTATGATTTTTTTCTGAGACCTGAGGGTATACAGTGGTATATAAATTCAATAAATAATAAATAATGAAGGGGAAACACGAGTTTGATATCAAGCCACACGTCGTTGGCTCCCTGCTCACCTTGCTGTGCAGGTACTTGTGCTCATAATCCCGGATCGGGACCCCGTCCAGCAGGATCTCCCCAGACTGGGGCTCATAGAAGCGCTCCAGTAGTGCCACGCAGGTGCTCTTTCCACTGCCATTGAGACCCACAAGTGCCACCACCTCCCTGGGACGGAGCTCAAAGGAGACGTTCTGCGCAGAAGGAGCGAGGAAAGGAGAAAAAACCAGGGCTGTGATTCACCTCCTCCAGAGCCAGGAGGGAAACACAAGTTACAGACCCTCTTTGCAGATGAGCCTAGGGCTTGCAGATGAGAAGGTCAGCGGTTCGAATCCCCACGACGGGGGTGAGCTCCTTTTGCTCTGTCCCTGCTCCTGCCAACCTAGCAGTTCGAAAGCATGTCAAAGTGCAAGTAGATAAATAGGTACCACTCCGGCGGGAAGGTAAACGGTGTTTCCGTGCACTGCTCTGGTTCGCCAGAAGCGGCTTAATCATGCTGGACACATGAACCGGAAGCTGTATGCCGGCTCCCTCGGCCTATAGAGCGAGATGAGCGCTGCAACCCCAGAGTCGTCCGTGACTGGACTTAACTGTTAGGGGTCCTTTACCTTTATTGATTTCTTTTTTGGGGGGGCTGCCCCTCCCTCGCTCCCCCTCTTGGCTATGGAGAGAGAGGCGACAAATATGGGGTGTGCTGACATATAGGGCGAATCTTCGCTCTTCAATTAATGTATTTGTTTTGTTTATTTATAGACTGCCCTTCCATCCTATGATCTCAGAGCGGTTCACAGAGTACAATACGGGGGGAGGGGAGGAACCCCATGAAAAGAAGAAGAAAGAAACAAGCGCTGCAGAGAAGCGGCCTGAGGCAAAACCCGGACTCCCCTCTGCCCGCCTCTCCGTCCAAAATAAGGGCACATCGCTGCCCGCCCCCGCCGTGGACTCCCCTCCTTGCCTGACTTTCCCCTCCCCTCCCCCGCAAACGCGTCATCCGGCGGAGAACTTTCAGTTTCACTTTCCCACCGCAGCTCCCGGCTCCTTTCCCATTGGGCGGATCTCCATCTCGGCCCCGCCCATCTCGCCTCCTGCTCCGGATTGCGGGGAGGCGCCTTTCTCCTCTTGGCAGGAGGGGCTTTGCGTGGGGCGAGGGGGGAGGCCGATGGGGTGGCTGCTGCTCCTCCCCCTCTTGTTGGGGGGCTGCTTCGGTGAGTACCCCCGAGTACCCCGAGTGCCACAAGTCGGGGTGGGCAGAATGTAGAAAGAGAGCGGAGGGGCTGCCCACCGCCTGATCCGGATCCAGACCGCTTTCTAGTCCGCTTCCGCCAGAGTCTCTCCTTCCTCCTCCTGATATTCCCATCTGCAGGAGAGACTACCCTCCCTGCTGTTCTGGAGACCTGCTCTCCCCCCAAAAGCCAGTCTGGGATTCAGTGGGGAGATCCAGCCAGAGGGGACTCATCGTAGTCCAGAATTGTGGTCTCCCAGCGCCCCCCCCCCGGAGATGCCCCAGGGGGAACCCCCAGAGCAGGACCTGACAGCCGCAGCTGCCCTCTCCCCACTTAAGAATCCCGGCAAGTGGAGAGGGCAGCCTGGTCGTTTTTTTAAAAAAAATAAAAATCATTGTAAACAAACAAACAAATATTTTTATAAGGAAGCTCTGGGTTGGTGTTACTAAAGACATTGAACTCAGCAGAGGACAAACCCTCCCCTGGGCTCATTAGCTTTTTTGCTTAGCCTGTGAAAGATGCCTGAGGGACAAGCGATGGGGAGATGATGGTGCTTTACTGACCGAGTGCAGCCCATATAATTATTGCTTACAATGGAATAAAATCTGATCCCCGCCTCTCGCTGATTAGCTGACTCAATATTGGGACGTTAGCCTGCATTGCTGTAAACTGGCTAATATGATCCCAGCTGGAGAGGGGAGGCAAAATTGTGATCATTTTGTTGAAACCTTGGCTTTTAAAAATCGTGTGCTGGTGGAACAAGTTGCAAGAAAATATAAATGCCTCAGGCTTCGTTGGGAATACTTTGAGATCTCTATTGATGAACTCACTGAAGCTTTTAGAATATTGGTTATTAGGTATTAGTTATTACTAATAGTGCCTGGCGTGCTCTGGTCCATGGGGTCACGAAGAGTCGGACACGACTAAACGACTAAACAACAACAAGTTATTACAAACCAGGGTGGATAAATGTTAATGATATTTTTAATCAGATTTTTAAAAAATTAAGTCGGATTTCTTTTATTTAAATCGGATTTGAAAAATAAAATGCTTTTCCAGGAAAAATATTTCTAAATATAGTTTTTTACTTAAGTTACATTATAGTCCAAAGGCTATTCATAAGGAAATAAGGATTTGGTAAATAAATATATGAAGCTCTGTCCCCGCCCCCTCTCTGTGTCCTTTCTAGGCTGCTCCAGTCACTCCTTGCGCTACTTATGCACGGGGGTGTCAGGGCCCAGTCAGGGGCTGCCCCCGTTCATTGCTGGGGGGTACGTGGACCACCAGCCCATTGTTAAGTATGACAGTGAAACCGAGAAGTCTGTGCCCCAAGTTTCCTGGATGTTGAAAGCAGAGAAGGACAATGCTCAGTACTGGGAAAAGAGCACCCAGGAATTCCTCAAGCTGGATATGAAATTTAGCCAGTACCTGCTGGACCTACAGGATCAATACAACCAGAGCAAAGGTGAGTGGCAGGCAGGAAGGGAGCTCAGTCTCCCTCTCTCTCTGCCAGGTTTGTCCCTTCCAGGGGCAGGAGATGGTGACTTGAGAGGGAGAATAGTGATTCCTAAACAGGGATAAGCTGCTTTCTCCCTGCCAGTCAGGCTCCTTTTGGGGTTGTTTGCCCCACCTGCACTTGGCTCTCACCTGTGGCTCCTAGAAGCTTTCAACCTGTGACAGCAGCCACAGTCCTGGGAATCAGGTGAGGGGAGCCGATGGGTCTCAAAACCTCGGTGCGTTAGGGACGTCCCCTGCATGCGAAGACAGGCTCTGGTGGGTTGAGCAGATGAGACCGAGAGTGGATCCAACGGTCAAAAAGGGGTTTTTTGCACATGCCGTAGAGCAACCTTTTTCAGCCGTGGGTCGGTCCACCGCCCCTCAGACCATGTGGGGGGCCGGACTATATTTTGAAAAAAGAAAGAAAGAATTCCTATGCCCCACAAATAACCCAGAGATGCATTTTGAAATAAAAGGATGCATTCTACTCATGTGAAAAACACACTGGTTCCTGGACCACCAGCAGGCTGGATTTAGCAGGCGATTGGGCCGCATCCGGCCCCCGGGCCTTAGGTTGCCTACCCCTGCCATAGAGGGAAGTGAGGGGCAGATGGGGCTCATCCACCTGGGAAGGGAGCCCATCTCGGAGAAGGAGAATCCTGATCCTAAACCTCCACTGCCTTGTGGGATAGCTGCAGGAGGAGAAAAGGCGACGGAGTAAACCATGCACACATCCAGAGCATAGTCCCTAAGGCGTTGGATGGCGCTTCGTATGACTCCTACGGGCAACACCTGCAGCCAAGCTGGTGCCAAACATCCTGCTCTGCTTTCCCTTTGGGCCACATCAGTGAGGCTGAGGGGGATGTGTGCCTTGTTTAGTATTATTATTGTTGTTTTTGCTAAGGGATGCAGGTGGCGCTGTGGTGAGCTCCCGTTGCTCTGTCCCAGCTCCTGCCAACCTAGCACTTCGAAAGCATGCCAGTGCGAGTAGATAAATAAGGACTGCTGCATTGGGAAGGTAAACGGCGTTTGCGTGAACTCTGGTTTCCGTCATTCTGACCACAAGACCTGGAAAGCTGTCTGTGAACAAACACCAGGTCCCTCAGCCTGAAGGTGGAGATGAGCGCCACAACCTCATAGTCACCTTTGACTGGACTTAACCTACCAGGGGTCCTTTGTTGCTCTTTAGTTGTTTAGTCGTGTCCGACTCTTCGTGGCCCCATGGACCAGAGCACGCCAGGCACTCCTGTCTTCCACTACCTCCCGCAGTTTGGTCAGACTCCTGCTGGTAGCTTCAAGAACACTGTCCAACCATCTCGCCCTCTGTCGTCCCCTTCTCCTTGTGCCCTCCATCTTTCCCAACATCAGGGTCTTTTCCAGGGAGTCTTCTCTTCTCATGAGGTGGCCAAAGTATTGGAGCCTCAGCTTCAGGATCTGTCCTTCCAGTGAGCACTCAGGGTTGATTTCCTTAAGAATGGATAGGTTTGATCTCCTTGCAGTCCATGGGACTCTCAAGAGTCTCCTCCAGCACCATAATTCAAAAGCATCAATTCTTTGGCAATCAGCCTTCCTTACGGCGAGGGGTCCTTTACCTTTACCTTACTGTTGTTGTTACAGATAGGTAGCAGTGTTGGTCTGCCATAGTCAAAATAAAGAAATTCCTTCCAGTAGCACCTTAAAGACCACCTAAGTTACCGTAGTTCTTGGTATGAGCTTTCGTGTGCATGCACACGAAAGCTCATACCAAGAACTAACTTAGTTGGTCTTTAAGGTGCTACTGGAAGGAATTTCTTTATTCTTAACTGTTGTTGTTATTGTGGGGCTTAACATGGGATAGAAATCTTGCTCTGGTGTTTTTGCCCCCCCCCATTGACCTCTTGGGGGTCTCTTTCAGGCTTCCACACTCTGCAGCTCATGTACGGCTGTGAACTGAGCCCAGACGGGCGCAAAGAAGGGTATTACCGGTACGGCTACGACGGGAGGGACTTCCTCAGTTTTGAGAAGGAGACCCTCACCTGGACGGCAGCTGACAGAGAGGCCCAAGTGATGAAGAGGAAGTGGGAGGCAGAGTTGGCCAAGAAGCAGTACCGGAAGGCCTACCTGGAGGAGGAATGCATTGAGTGGCTGCAGAGATACCTGGACTACGGGAATGAAACTCTGCTGAGGACAGGTGAGATGGGTGGGTGGGGAATGGGAGTGGGGAGGAGGGCTAATGCATCAAATGGTAGAATTATGGAGTTGTAGAGTTGGAAAGGACCCCCAGGGTCATCTAGTCTAACCCCCTGCAATGCAGGGATCTCAGCTAGAGCATCCAGGACAGGTGGCCATCCAACCTCTGCTTAGACTCCTCCAAGGAAGGAGAGTCCACCACCTCCTGGGGGAGACTGTTCCACTGTTGAACAGCTCTTGCTGTTGGAAAGTCATTCCTTTTTAAAAAATACTCGGTCATACCTTGGTTGCTGAACGCCTTGGAACTCATACGTTTCGGTTCCTGAATGATCAAAAACCAGAGTTGAGTGTTCCGATTTTTGAACGATTTTGGGAAGCCAGATGTCTGGTGCAGCTTCCGCGACTTCTGATTGGCTGTAGGAAGCTCCGGCAGCCAATCGGAAGCCGCACCTTCGTTTATGAACAGTTCCAGGAGTCAAACAGACTCCCAGAACGCATTTTGTTTGGGAACCAAGGTACTACTGTGTGTATATATATAATATATATATATAAAGCTAAATTGACAGATCTAATAAAGAGAAAACCCAAAATTATGGTCATGAAACAGTGGGAGTGTCTAAATGATTACTTACAAAACCAGGGCTCTGCTACCAAAATCTGGCTGTGTTTAGAATAATCTTGTGAGTAACATAAAAAATATAAAGTGAGATATTAAGGAGGCTTAAAGGAAAAATATGAAGAACGGAGGATATGGCAAATGGATTATTAAAAATGCACAGGGCAAACGGTGGAAGTCTTTTAAAAATATTTTAATTAAGATAGATATGGATAAGATGGAAATATATAATTGAACATAAATACAGATTTGAAATGGTTGTGTATAGTGAATACTTATCTACTTTTAAAATCTTCATTCTTGACTTTTTCTTCTTTCTTTTTCTATTTCATCTTTCATTTTTTCTCTCTTTTGTGAACATCGCTTTATAGAGGTGTATATGCATGTGAAGAGGTAAAATATTTGTATTCTTTATATTTTCTAATTTTCCTTTGGTTACATGTATTTTCTTTTATTTCTTTGTATATTTGTATATATTTTTTTCTATTTTGTACTTAATAACATTTTTAAAAATAAATAATTATATATATTATATTATATTTAATATAATATAAATAATTAAACTTTTCTGTTTTACATTTTAGAATATTCATTTAAACAACCTTAAAATATCAGTGACTTCCCTCCTTCTCTTTTCATGGTTCATTTTGCATACCGTAAATCCCTGCATATTTTGTTAGGATATTTCCGTTCCACCTTAAAAGGGAGCAGGCTTTGTAAGTCACAGAGTCTGCGCATGTCCTGTTCACAGGATGTTTATGTTTGCTATTCCTTTCGTTTTCTCAGTCGGTTGGAGACGCTGACTCAGAACGGACATGTTTTCCTTTGCTCTGTTCAACGCTAAATAAAGTCTGTAAATTATGCTCTTCTGTGGTGCAAGCTTTCTGGCTGTGTTTTCTGCTGATAAAGAATGTGCACGAACCCGGAATGCAGCCTGTCTATTTCTGAGGCTTCGTGTCGCTAACTGCTGTATCTGCCTGTCTACGGGAGGCCGATGGATCGTCCGGCAGCCGGCTTGGGGGCTCAGATGGACGTTATCTCCCTGGCAGTATCCCAACAACTAGGTTTCGGGCCCAGATTCACAGCACCTACAGGAGAGTAAAGCTGCAACAGACTGCGTATGAGAGGTATGTCAAAAGCGAAAGAGAGGTTTTCTCTGTTTACCTCGAAAGAAGCCTTTGGAACTCCGGCAGATTAATGGCCGTGGGAGCCGAGCCAGAGAGTTCGTGATTAATGAGCTGCCAAGATAAGGAGTCTTTGAAGGCATAAGGACTCACGGCTAAAGCAAAAAGCTGGAATGGAGTTTTTCCACGCTTTTGAAGCTTCAGAGGCCACTCAGTGCCCAAAGTTACATGGGCAGAATTATGAAACCTGGGCAAAATGGTGTGAAAGTTTGCTGCGTCAGTTTCAGGTGTGGCATACCGTATCTGAGCCCCCCCCCCAGAGAGATGGAAAGCAGATGATTCGAAGGCGATAGACGTAATAGTCTTATCCGTATCTCTTGAGGAAATTAAGACGCTTGCTGGCAACACCACTGCACGTGGGATGTGGAATGCTTTGAAAAAGCTCACCAGCCAGTCATCCCAGCCCAGAGTTTGACTGCATCGGAGGTCCAAGCTGTTTCCCAGAATGCGAGTGAATGCAGGGATGCTGAGGGCACCGGTTGCAAGCTGCAGGGGGAGCTGACCATCACGTCATCCCAGGCAGCATTCCAGCCTCCAGGGGGAGCCAAGGAGTCAGCGGCTGAGAGCTCTGTTTCTCGTGGGAGCCAAGGTCATAGTCTTTGCAGAGGCCGGAAGGCCAGAGGTAAACAAAGACAGATGTCTGCATATGGCCCGAAGCAGAGGGAGGGTGAAGAGCCCGCGCCAGGGAAAAACAAAGCGTTGTTTGCTGGCACAGCTTCACCAAAGGCTAAAGGCACGTCTGCTGACCAGAAGCAGGGGGGCAAGCTGCAAAAGCCCACGCCAGTGGAAAACAAGGTTTTGTTTGCTGGCACAGCTTCACCAAAGGCTAAAGGCACGTCTGGTGGCCAGGAGCAGCAGGGGGGCAAGCTGCAAAAGCCCACGCCGGTGGAAAACAAGGGTTTGCTTGCTGTAAAGACTGCTCCAACAGCCAAAGGCAGATTTATTGTCGATTCAGGTGCGAGCCGCCACGTCACGAAGGATCGCCACCTGTTTATCTCCTTCAAGCCTCAGGAAGGTGAGATCCACCTGGCTGATGGAAGGACGTTGCAAATTGCAAGAGAAGGGACTGTGAAACTTGCAAGTCTGCACACAACCATCAGTAATGTACTTTTTGTTCCAGGAGCTGCTAGCAATTTGCTAAGTGTCCCACAGCTTACTGGGCGTGGTTTTCAGATTTCCTTCAAGAGGAGCGTCTGTGTCATCAGTAAAGGCAAAGAGGACTATTTGCATGCAAAGTTTATGGATGGTTTGTTCCATATAACTTATGATGACACTGCTGTTGTATCTAATGCTGATTCTTGTTGTGTTGCACAAACTAACAAAGTTCTTCATGCAGGTTGCATTCACGATGCGCATCGAAGGTTTTGTCACCTCTCTTGGAAGGCACTGGCCAAGATGCCAGAGGTGGTTGAAGGTTTGAACATCAAACCCTGTAAATTTCACATGAACATGTGTATCTTGTGCAGAGAACAAGGTGAAGGTTGCTCCAAAAGGCAAGGAGTCTAGCAGGCAGGCTTCCAAACCCTACCAGCTAGTGCATGCGGACCTGGTTGGTCCACTTACACCCTCTTTAGGGGGAGCAAGGTACTTCATGGTTCTGATTGATTCTTTTTCCAGGTACATTCATGTGTTTTTGCTCGAACAGAAATCGCAAGCGTTTCCGAAGTTTAAGGCATTCTGTGCTTGGTTGGAGAATGCTCATGGTAAATGTATCGGTTCTTTGTTTATTGATCGAGGCGGGGAGTTCACTTCTCAGCAGTTTGAAGCTTTCCTGACTGAGAAGGGAATCCAGCATGACATGTCAATGCCCAGATCGCCATGGATGAATGGGCTTGCGGAGCGAGCAAATCAGACATTGCTGCAAGGAATGAAAACCTTGTTGCATGATGCCAATCTCCCTGATAAGTTTTGGGGGAAGCTTTGGGGAATTTGGTTTACTCCTTTAATCGCAGATTGTCTTCACCCATTGGCTGTACCCCCTATGAGAAGATGTTTGGCAAGAAACCCAACACCAAACACATGAGAATCTTTGGTTCTGACATGTGGGTACACTCCCCACAAACCAACAAGCTTGGGAAGCGTGGGGCACATGGTTTGTTCATGGGGTATGAAAAAGGTGCATACAGGGTATGGATGACTAACTCTAAGTCCATTAAGTTCACAAGGAGTGTTGAGTACAATCCTAAGTGGGGGGGGGAAATGTGGGAATTTTCCAGTTACCCAGAGGAGGATGAAGGTGATGTCAAGCAAGCAGCTAAAGCTGAGGAAGCTGCTGAGGATGATGATGATGATGAGGATGATGATGATCAGAGTTCGGATTCCAGTTCAGTGGGCGGCGCTGCTGCTGGTGTCAGTGACAGTGATGACACAGCAGACTACAAGAGCGCAAAGGCCTCAGTCAGACCATCTGATGCTTCTGACAATGAACTGGAAGAACCACTGTTCACCATTGGTCATTTTTCTCCTAAGAAAGAGGAGATGAGTCCAGAAGACTTGCGTCTAGTACGTAGGTCTGAAAGGGCGACCAAAGGCAGACCTCCAAAGAGATTGCTGATGAGTTTGCTAAGACAGCAACTGCTGTTCTTAGTAGCTCAGAGAAGGTATGGGAACCTTCAAGCTTCAAAGAGGTTCAGGAGTTAACCTCTAAAGATGCTGAGCCTTGGCTTAATGCCATGAAGGCTGAAGTTGATTCCTTGAACAGGAACCAAACTTGGGAACTGGTACCGGTAGTCCCAGGAATGAGACTGGTTGGCAGCAAATGGGTCTTCAAGGCCAAGACAGACCAGAATGGCAAGGTAGTCAGACACAAAGCCAGATTGGTTGCCAGAGGTTTTTCACAGGTACCAGGACAGGATTACCACGAGACCTACTCACCCACAGTCAAATATGAGAGCATTCGGCTGATGCTCAAGATCGCTGCGGAGGAGAAACTGCATGTTTCCCATCATGACATTAATACAGCTTTTTTGTACGGGATTTTGAACGAGGAGCTGTTCATGCTTCCACCTGATGGGATGGAGATACAGAAGGGAATGGTCTGTAAACTGCGGAAATCCTTATATGGTCTTAAGCAGAGTGCCAGGTGTTGGAACACAAAACTCACTGAGACATTGCTTTCTCTAGGTTTTCACCAGGGCAAAGCTGATCCATGTGTGTTTGTCAAGGAGGAGGGGCAAAACAAACTGTATTGTTTATGTTTTGTTGATGATCTTCTGATGTTTTGGAAGAATCAGGCTTTTTACCAAAGCACCCTAGCTCAGCTGAAGGAGCACTTTGACATGAAGGATCTTGGTGAGGTATCCAACTATCTTTCTCTGCAGGTGGAGAGGGACCAAGCAGGTAATTTTCTGATACACCAAACACAGAAAATTGCTGATGTATTAACCAGGTTGAATTTGGTTGATGCAAACCCAGCAGACACACCGATGGTGACAGGTTACCAGGTAGACAGTACTGCTGAAGCGTTTTCTGACACAACGCTATACAGATGCATTCTAGGCAAGCTGAATTTCATTGCCAGATGTTCAAGACCTGACATAGCTGTAAGCTGTAATCTGCTTAGCAGACATGCCAACAATCCTACGATTCAGGATTGGAAAGCTCTGAAGCGCATAGCCCGCTATTTGAAAGGGACTATGCACTACAGGCTGAGGTTCACCAGTCAGAAGACTGGAGGTCTTGAAATCTTTGCAGATGCAAGTTTTGGAAGTGACACCACGGATGGTACAAGCACTTCTGGAGTATGCTACATGTACAACCACTGCCTGTTTGACTGGTTGTGCAGGAAGCAGACAACAGTGAGCCTAAGTTCCTGTGAAGCAGAACTCAATGCTCTGTCATTTTCACTCATGGATTGTGAATGGTTGATGCAACTGTTTAAGGACATCGGGGTTTCAGTGAAATGTCCTATACAAGTGTATCAAGACAATAGATCTTGTTTGGCTTTGCTGAACTCAGAAAGTTGCAAGCAAAGAACCAAGTACTTGCAGATTAAGCTACATCGTGCAAGAGAGTGTATTCAGAAAGGACTGATTCAGGTGTCCTACATGGCCAGGAAATGAAATTCCTGCTGATCTGTTGTCTAAGGTTGTTAACAGAGAACAACTTAAGGTTTATGTACAAAGGTTGCAATTGGGTTGAACCACAGGTACTACAGGTTACACGGAAAGGGGGAGGATGTTAGGATATTTCCGTTCCACCTTAAAAGGGAGCAGGCTTTGTAAGTCACAGAGTCTGCGCATGTCCTGTTCACAGGATGTTTATGTTTGCTATTCCTTTCGTTTTCTCAGTCGGTTGGAGACGCTGACTCAGAACGGTCATGTTTTCTTTGTTCTGTTCAACGCTAAATAAAGTCTGTAAATTATGCTCTTCTGTGGTGCAAGCTTTCTGGCTGTGTTTTCTGCTGATAAAGAATGTGCACGAGCCCCGGAATGCAGCCTATCTATTTCTGAGGCTTCGTGTCGCTAACTGCTGTATCTGCGTGTCTACGGGAGGCCGATGGATCGTCCGGCAGCCGGCTTGGGGGCTCAGATGGACGTTATCTCCCTGGCAGTATCCCAACATATTTTACATGAACTAAGCCATTCAGTATTCCAATATTACATCCATCAAAACTTATTTACACTGTTGAATTTATCTTTATGAAAGTTATTCCTGATGTTGAGTCTGAATCTCCTTTCTTGTTGGAGGGTGGAGAGGTGATTTTGCTACTTATTTCTCCACCCACATCACATTTCAGACCAAAACTCTGTTTTGTGCAGGAAGGAAGTCTGGGAGTGGGTCACTTCAGGCTACAGTGTGTGGATGTTGATTTGAAAAAAAATATCAAAAAGAAGCCCAAATCTGCCTAGAAGGGGGTGGCTGAAAATTTTGGGTCAGAGGGACAGATTGACCCATGAGCAACTCAGAGAGCTGAAGCAGTCTTCGGACTGTGTGTCAAAACTATAAAAACGTGGGTGTGGTTGGTAAAAATAAATGAGACATTTGAGGGGTTTCTGGTGTGTGGGTGTCATGGGCTGGCTGGATGCAGAGGACTGGTGGGAGGAACCAGCTGAGGAACCCTCAAGAGAAGAAGGCTCAGAGCTCAGGGAATGGTGGTAGGACAATGATGAACGGTCAAAGGGAGAAGAGGGAGAAGACTGGGAAGTGTCAGAATGTGAAGGGTAACAGGGCTTAGTGAGCTGGGAGAGTCTGTGGCAGAGAGCAGTCCAGAATGAGAGGCAGAAGCAGAGGCTGGAGAGGAGGGAGGCCAGGAGACAGAAGCGAGGCAGGCTGCTGAAGAATCCAGGGAGTCTCACCCTCCTGCTGTGACCAGCTCCCCTCCTCCCTGGTCTCAAAGAACCAGGAGAGGCATGAAGAGGGCAGAGGAGAAGTTAGCTTCATGCAGGCGCAGTCTCAGATTGCTTCGGGGAAACCCTGAAGGGGGGGGGGACTTAGACAACTGTGGGGAAGTGGGGACCTTCAGTCTCTGCAACAGCCACACAGGGGCTTCAGATTGCTTTGGGTATCACAGGCCCATAGCAGGGAGACCCATGGGGTTTGTCTGAATAATTTCTTTTAAAAATGGACAAAGGTTTCAGGGTGGAACATCTATGGGAACAGGTATGGGGACATAATCAGTCTGAGCCATGGGTCAATTCATCTATTGATGATATTCACTACAAAGACCTTAAGCATATTTGTGGACGACAGGGATTTTTAAGTCTGACGAAACACAAGGGAAGTCGATAATTTCTCTCTTCTGACCTTGTCATCTCTTGGGGATGTTGAAGGCATCAGTAATCGAATTTCAGGTCAGGATGGCACTGGATGACCACGTGAATTGCACCATCCATCCTGCCAGCTACTGGAGAGGTTCCTTTGTTTTTGGCAGAGCTCCCAGTGGGGAAGGTGACGCGTCAGGCCCTTCCAGACAGCCAGGAGTCCCTCATCTGCCAGGCCTATGGCTTCTACCCCAGAGAGATTGACACCACCTGGAGGATGGACGGGAAGGTCATGGAGCATGCCACTTTCCGCAGGGACGTCGCTCCCAATTCCAACGGGACCTACCACGCCTGGCTCAGCATTGACGTGGACCCCCAGGACAGGAACCGCTATCATTGCCACATAGAGCATGTCAGCCTAACACAGCCTCTGGTCTTGGCCTGGGAGGAGCCTGGTGAGGAACGACAGGAGAGGGGCAGGAGGAGGAGTCAGAGAATCACAATAGAGTTGGAAGGGACCCCAAGGGTCATCAAATCCACCCCCTGCAATGCAGGAATCTCAGCTAAAGCATCCATGACAGATGACCCTCCAACCTCTTGGATGGCCTTCTTTGCTGGATTCTAGGAGGAGAATGTCCACCTAGAGTCGAACGAGGGACTCCAGTGCTATCATAGGCTAATACTTCATGTGACATTGTCCATACTTTGGGGGTGCAAAGGAGGAGATGTGATTTAGGTTCAGGGAAGTGGGGAGGGCGTGGTATTCAAAGAGCGGAGTTTGAAGAGCAATCTTTGGAAGGAGAGGGACCCTCTCTGGGAGGTGAGAAATCTTACCCGTTTTATTGATATAATTATGTGGTGTTCCATGAGGTTGCTGAATGCCACTCCTAATCTCTGAAGCCATCTAATGGTGAGCGATGGGTTGCCTTAGAGGGGAGGGCATTTTTGAGAGCACTGCCATAGCACATTGCTTTGCGCATGGGAGGTCTCAGATTTGGTATGCAGAATCTCTCCTCCAAAAAAAGATTGTGAGATGTCTGGATGAGGGTTTGGGAGCTGCCACCAGTGTCTGAACAGAAATATCTTTTGTTTGCTTTTAGCTAAGGGAGGCCATTCTTTTGCCACTCTGGGAAACGTTGTTGGGGGTGTGGTGGCAGCGGCTGTGGTAGTAGTTGTGGTGGCTGCTGTGATCTTCTTTGTCCGCAGTAAGTAAACACTGGATGGATTTGCTGGGTTTTGTCTGTCCTGACTGAGAATGGGCTGATGGCAAAGCCTTCCTGGCAGCTCCCTCACAAGTTTTCCCCACCCATAAATGACCTGTGGAACACCAACCAGAAAGTACCCAAAGGTCAACCCTAACTGTTCTTCCCCACTGCCTCCTGCCCCTATTCTGATATGTTTGGGAAGCAGGATTCATGTGGGTTACATAATGTAATAATGGTTCCAAAATGCCAAGGGGCTGGCAAGTACCTGTCATCTAGACCAACGACGGAGAATTTGTGGCCCTCCAGACTCCGATATGGACCACAATTCTCATCAACCCTGACAGCCATGCTGGCTGCTGGGGACCAAAGTCCAGCAACATTGGCAGAGACACAAATATCCCTGATCTCTAGCCCAGATTTGCACATGGATACCAAGCTGGAATCTACACACACACACACACACACACATAAATGCTGTGAAAATGCTTTTTAAAAAACGTTTTGAAAAAGGCATTGAATTTGGCATAGCTCACTGTCGCCATCTGGTGTCACATTAATATATTACACTTTACAACACATTTAAAATGTTTCATTTGCAGCTGTATAACTGAGTCCACAGTACAATTGTTGGCGATTGAGTCGCTGTGTGTCCTGTAGATCTGTGATGGTAGCGATCTACAGCTGGGGTTTCCAACCCTTCTCGAACAGTGGGGGCATTTTAAATGTCATGAAAGCGCTGTGGGCACCAGAAATAAAATGGCAGCCATGGGCAATAGACCATAACACATTTTCAACAATTCATATAACATTAAAAAGAGATACCTCGCCAGCCCATGGAGACCAGGAACAGGAATTAAACTTGTATGGCACCTGTGAAGGTTCTTTCTTGGAGTCTCGGAGGCAGTCGGAGCCCTTGGTCAAATCAAATCAAATAAAATTTTATTAAACGGTCACAGACCAGATTAACTCGTACAGCTAGTCAACGAAGCATAACACCGGAAAAAACAAAGAACAATTAAGCCCTTGGTCAAGAACGAGCTCCTTCTTGCTGTGCAGTGCAAAACAGCTGCTGGAGCAACAAGGGTTTGCCCGCTTCCACCCCAAATGATATTTTGTTGAAGTGGGGAAAAAGAAAGCAAGCAGCAGGGTTGGGCTTCCTGCTTGCCCAAGTGTCCCTTCCTGTTTGTTTGTTTGTTTGTTTGTTTGTTTGTTTGTTTGTTTGTTGCTTGTAGGCCATGAGTACCATGAAAGCCTTGCTTGCAATCTCTTGTTGGGGCAAGTGATGGGGGGAAGAGGAAGCAGCAAAGTAGACTCCACTGGTTGCTTAGCCAGTTTCTGCCCACCAGCCACATGTAACTGGCAGCAGCGGAATGTCAATTTCAGCAGCGCCCTGTGCAATGCCAAAATTTGGAATCCCTCGCCTCTCACGCTCCATCCTCTCCCCGATCTGATTTTCTTATTCTGTTTCTGTAGAGAAAGTACGAATGAAAGCAGCCTATGAAAGAACGTCAAGTGAGTGACTTCTTTTTCCTTTGAAAAGTTTTTGTTTTTGTTGTTGCATGAATATATTGGTGACCGCAGGTGCCAGAGTGGGCAAGGGTTCAGTCATCAGCTTTGCCCTGGAGATTTATAGCAGCCACTAAGTGCTAACTGCCTGGGATATAGTGGTCACAGTAGGGTTGGCATGTTGTTGAGCTTTTATTTGCACGATAGCCCGAAAGATTGTTGATCTTGCCCCCCAAAAAACAGAGGCAGAGGTGACAGAGACAGAGCCCAGGTAGCCCACATGCACACAGTTGTTTTTTTTAATACACACCCCCCGACATTAGCTTAAAAGTGTAAAAATCCCCCCGGATGGGCATGTAGACCCCCAAAAGAGGACATGTCTGGGATTTCCAATACGTATAGCAACCCTAGGTCAGAGGTCACAGGCGGCCAAAGACCCATCACTATTTCTGGAGCAGGGTCTCCGCTCCAGCATCCCATAACCACCCAATGAGCATGAAAGGAGAGTGTGTGTTTTTAGCCACGGTCTGTTCCAAAGCTCAACATTTAGGAACAGTGAAAAACACAAGGCACTTCCGTTTCAGGAGAATGGTGTGTGACAGGGCCAGCCCACCCAGGAGGCAAGGGGAGGCAACTGCCTCAGGTGGCAGGTTTCAGCAGGGCAGCAGATCCCCATGTCAATCTTTCTCCCTATGCCCTGGGTATAAATCTTCCCTCACCCTTCTTCCCTGGTGGGGAGTGGGAGGCCATTTTGGGGTCTCCCTCAAGTGTCAAAACGTATTGGGCTGGCCTTGGTGTGTGAGTTATGCTACGTACAATGGGACTTCACAGAAAACACAACTTAAGGCAACACTGGAGCACTGCATAATCATTTGCACATGTACATGCGCAGATAATAGTACATCCAGGCAACACCTGGAGAACTGCACTGATGGTTGCAAAGCATCCCGAATTATTATTCCTGTATGATTATAATTTTACTGTATAATCTTAGGAGATTGTAGACTGAGACGTATGTTTCATTTGGACTTAACGGGGCATGGAGGGATATGTGTGTGTGTGGAAGCAGAGGGGAAATGAGAACTCCCTCCCTAAGACACAGGCAGTGAGACGCACTCTCTTTATTTTCTCCTTTTTGCAGCAAGCAGCCAGGAGCCCGCCAGCTCCACCAGCTCCTCCGTCGGTAAGTGGGGAGTGGATGGGGATGGATGCCCAGCTTGAAAACAGGCCTCCGTGGGGAAGGGATCGTTCTTTGGGTGATGGGGTACTTCTACTTTCCATGAATGTTAAAACCATCTGGAGTCAGCCGCAAGTGAGAATAACTTCTGCACACACGAGCGCAAAGAAAGCCCATCTCTGCTGCCGCCTGATTTTGTGGAGGATCTTGTTCCTCTGTTACTTTAAATTTATTATTTATTACTCAATGTATATCTCGCCCTTCCTCCCAAGAAGCCCAGGGGTTCTACCCAGGGTCTGAACAACAAGAAGGGCTTTATATTCCGGACTGGGCTGCTTAGCGTCCCTGTGTATTTCCCACCTTCCCTAAAGTGAGAGGCTTGGCTGAGTTGCTGGAGCCTCCTCTGGAAACCTTAAGTCTTTGCTCTGAGTATTATTTTTAGCGTGGCTTGATAGGTCAAGGGATTGGAGCAGGTGGCCTCTGTGCCATCGAATGCCCCAATACTGACAGCTTCATCCTGCTTCTTCCTCTGGTTCCTGCTGCAGGGGACATTCAAGGCAGCACAGAAATAGAAATGAGGAATTTTCAACGAGGAGGGAGGCCACCTTCAGGTCACTTCCCTTTATGAAATGTCTGCCTCCAAACCTGCCCATCCCAGCGGGGAGAGGCTCCAGGCTGGCTCCTCAGGGCTGCTTTGAGATGGGAACGTGGTTGGCATCCAGAACTATCTCCCCCTCTGCAGCGAAAACAACAGACTACACAAAAGAACAAAGCGACAGGAATTTGAGCTCCGAGGAGTCAAAAACCATTTCAGCCTCTCAAGACACTCAGTTAAGTGACCTTAGACTGGCCGTCCTGCCACCAAAGGAACAGCAAAAGGAGACTGCGAGGAAAAGGGCCAAATTACTGTTGCCCAAGAGTTTTGGTGCTATCAGCTGCGGACTGAATTGGGCGAAAGGGGTTTTTGTTGCCCCGTGACAGGCATTGTTATTGTTCATTTATTAAATTTGTATGTTGCCCTATACCCGCAGGCCTCAGGGCGGTTCACAGGATAAAATCACAACCCAATAACACCCCAAACACATTTTAAAAGGTGTGCTGCTGAGAGGGGCTCCAGACGCAGGGAAGAAGCCATCCGGCCTCCTTGCCAACTGTTCCTAGGTGCGCTGGCCTGGCGGGACGTTGGTGCTGAACCCAGAGGAGGAGAGCGGGAACTCCTAGGGCAAATGGACGTGCCTCCAGTCCGCAGGCCAGAGAAGAGGCCCCTGCAGTGCAGACCTTGTTGGTCCTCTGCTTTAATTTCATACTGCTGAAGGCATTATCCAGTCGATGTGGGTGATGTATTATTGGGTGGGGACTGGAAGTGTGTTTCTTCTGCCCAGAGAGAGAGTCACAGGAGGAAGACAGGAAGTTGCCTTACACTGAGTCAGAGAGCCATTGGTCCATCTAGCTCTAGACTGCCTGCACTGACTGGCAGTGGCTGTCCAGGGTTTCCTAAAAGGTTCCCTCCTGGTCCTACCTGGAGATGCTGTGGATTGAACCTGGAGCCGCCTGCATGCAAGTTTCCAGCCCTGAGCCACGCCCTGAATGGTTCTTCTCCACTCGTTTTATTCTCCACAACAACCCTGTGATGTGGGTTAGGCTGAGAGGCAATGACTGGCCCAGCGTCACCCAGTGAGCTTCATGGGCGAGGGGGAATTTGAACCCTGGTCTCCAGCTCCTAGTCCAGCACACTGACTGTTACATTACACACACCTGCTCCCAAATCCTTCCGTTTTCATGTCTCTTAAGGTGCCCCCTTCCTCCTCCTTCCCACTCTCCTGGAAAAAGTTCTGCCACACCAAAATCAGATTGTCCCGACTGCAATTCAGTGTGGATCTTGGTGCTGCCCCAGACCTTCCGCTGCTCAGAGACCTTGGGGTGCCAGTGGCCCAGGAAAGAGTGTTATCTGTGGCAGCTCCTAAATGGTGGCATCTCTGCGCACAGAGGTGGGTCTGACACCTTCACTTTACAGCTGCTATTGTTTGCTAAAAACACACCTCTTTGCCCTGCCCTTTGGCACCTCAGATATGTCCTTTTGAGATCCACACGACCACTGTGACTGGGATTTTAAAAAAGGATTTTATTGTTGAATTTTAGGGCCTGCTGGTGAAATGCAGGTAACGTTGACTTTTCCTTGCATGTTGCATTTGTGCTGCTCATTTACAATTCTGAAAAGTGTTTTTTTTAAAAAAAATATGAATGAATGGTTTTCAATCTCAATAAATTCAGCGTTGGAATATCTCTTCCTCCTCCCCTTTGATTGAAATGTGTGAGTTGAGAAGGCATCAGGCGTCACATACATTTTGTGAAATCAGTCAATCATAACAGCATTTCATTTCTTGTGGAAAGTGCTCAGGCTCGGACTGTGGCCAGCCCCCAGTGGATTCCCTGCAAGAAATGGTGAAATGGTGATGTATATTTCCCGGGTGAGTCAGGGGGACCATGGCATTGTAGCAGAAGGACCATCGCCAGATGGGGTCCAGCATTTGGATGGGAGGGGGAATCTCAACATCCATTTCATAATGCCCCTACCAGGTGCCACTGGGATTGTCTGGTCTCACTGGGAGGTGGTTGAAGCTTCCTGGGGCTGTTGGAGTGTGAAGGCCTTCTGGGGCCCCTGGGGAGAGTGCTGTTTTTCTAGAAAAAGTGGTGCTGGAAATCGCCATGAAGGCTGCCCTTATTCTCTTAGGATGGCAAAGGTGCCCACCTGAGAGGTGAAGGAACTGAGTTCTGGCTGGAAAAAGCCCTGGCCCGAGCCATGTTCTGTTTGCCCTGCTGCTTCCCCCAGAAAATCCACTCTTTACTGCTAAATCGGAGCAAACGTCAATCTGCAGAAGACCTGGTTGATGTTTGCTCCGATTCAGCCGTGAACAGCCGGTTTCTACAGCGGAAAGAGGTGGGAGAAGTGGAAGAGTGGATGAGACCTATTAAGTAGTGGGTTGACAAACAGACAACGCAGAGATTCCCCAAGTAGTTCTTTATAAGTAAGCTGGAACTGAACTGAACAGCAAACAGCTCAGCCGGCCTGCTTTTATAGGCAGCCAGCTGTCACATTGTAACAACAACACCCAGGGTTTCCCGCCTAAATTAACTGACGTGGACCTGAGTGAAAACTATATACACAATACCCTGGTGACCAGGGTGAGCACTTCAATACATAACAAGCCCCAGTCACTCATTGTGAGGGGGGACAAAACCATCACCCGACAAACAGCCAAATCTATATATTAATTCCTCTCAAACAGGCTGTGTTATGGTGGGAGCTGCTGTGGCTTTCCCTCCCTCCCTCCCTTGGCCAGCCTCACCCTGAACAAACCTCTCCCCTGAAGGGAGGAAAGTGGTCAGGGCAAGGCAGGTCCCCACCCTCCTGCCTGCCTGCCAAGAACGGAAGCCATTTTGTGAAGGCCAGGCTGCAGAGGAGAAGAGGAAACAAAATGGTGGTGTTTCGCTGGTGCGTCTCTTTCCTGGCTCAATGACAACAACATCATGTCATGCAGCCTGAAGATTATTAAAAGTCTCAGGCTGGATTTTTGCAAACTGACTAGTGGCCACCTCTAGCAGTCCAAAAAGTAGCTTGGGGCCTGCCTTAAAGAGTTGAAGCCCCACAACACTGAGAAATGCCCCCTTTCCCCCTCAAGTGACAATCCAAAAGCCACAACAGCCCTTCAGGATTGCAGCCTGGCGGGGAGATCGGTACCCAGAAACGTCTTTCAGAAGGACAGTGTTTGGTCTTTCCTGACTTTGGCACATGGTGATCAAGCACGGAAACCACCTCAGGCATTTTGCCCTCCTTCCAAGGAAGAAGTGGCTGGCTTGGCCTGAGCACACATCCTCTTGGGGCTCTGGGGAGGGTCTGCTCACAAGGCCTTGTGGTTGTGTGCATGTATATTGCGTGCATGTGGGGAGTTGCCTGTATCATTTTGCCACGGCTCTTACTGTCTTGCACATATTTTCAATGATTGCAAAGCTGTGACATATGTGGGAACCTTGAGCCCCCCTTTTTTTTTGCAACCCGTGACTTGCTTCAACTGGTCCCTTGAAGGATTTCCTAGAAATCACCTGATTTCCATTTTAGCTGGGGAAGAAGGCAGCCGGCAGGGGGCAGGGGAGGATCGCAAAAAGGGGAAAGCGAGAAAAGACAAATGGGACTGTGGAGAAATGGGTGAGGGTGTCTTGTGGCAGAGAGAGAGTGTCAGGGCAGGAATCTACCCTGGAAACAAGCACAAACACCCCCAGTGTTAATGAAGGACGACGACTTTCTCAGCAAAATCTGCCTCCGTTTTTTCAATTCCTGTGAGAAATTTCAGTCAAGCAGCCTGAGATGCAGTCACTTGAAATTCCTTTGCTAGCTTGGTATGCAAACGAAATTTAGATTATTGTAACTCGCCAAAGAATGTTTACTGTACCCTCAGCTATTCTTCTTAAAAGTACAGTCTTCTCTGTAATTTTGAAATTATTAATAAATATATTTTTTTTTTTTAAGTAAAAGGAAAAAGGAAAAAGGAAAACCAAACATAAAAAAGGGAGTCCGAACCATTCTGGCCTTGTTCTGGGAACTGCCCTGGGACTTTCCAACCTGACTCAGAGGTTGCTGAGGGAGGCAGAAGGGGGCAAAGTCTCCCGGGAAACAATCCAGGTTGGAACAGAGAAACACACCAAGGACGTTTTTATGTCATCTATGCCATCTCGTTGCTGTTTTCACACAATATCAAGAACAGGGAAAAAATAATGTCTAAAGTCCTGTAAACTTTTTAAAAAGTCTTTGAAGAACAAACATTTTCCTCCTGGCCGTTAGTTTTTGTCGCCCACTCCACCTCCATGAAGAGGGGAAAGGAGAGGAAGAAAAATCTCCACAGAGGAGACCAGGGGAGGAGAAGGAGCCTCAAGCCACCAAGGACTTTCTAAAACAAGACTAGCCCTTTGAATTGAACTCAGAACCAGACAAACAGGCAGAGGGTCTTTTGGCCCCGGTGAGATTTGGCCCTAAATGAGCTGTGGCAGTGAAAATCCTGTCAGGTTTATCTTGTAGCAGCTGAAGCCTCCCTACTGTATTGAAAAAAACACCACATGTTACAATAATCCTGTCAGGAGGTGACCAGAATATGGATCCTTGTGGGCAGACTATCCCTGTCCAGAAAAACTGGATGGAGCAGGTGAAAAGTGAAGCTTAAGACGTCCCTGAGGTGACTGAGCCCACTGAGTCCCAAAAGTGGGTCCAGGAGAGCCCCCCTCAAAACAGCCAGCCTCCTTCTTCACAGGGACTCATCTTGCAACCCTGAATTGTTGCTGTGAATAAAGGCCAAGAAGAGACGGACTCTGAGAGAGTTGCTTTAACAGGTGAAACAAGAAGAAGAGCCTGGCTGGATCCGGCCAAAGGTCCCTCAAGTGCAGCCTCCCATCCTCACTATGGATGATGCCTCCTCTTCTGGGAAGCCCCAAAATAGGCCCTGAGCGCCAGAGCCCCACTCTGCCCTCCTCCTGGGACTTCCAGAAAGGGGGATCCAGAAGCATGGCTGCCTCCAAAGGGGGAGCAAGAGCGGAGCCATCATGGCTGGGGGGCATCCATAGCCCTCTCCTCCTCCTCATGAATTAGTCTCAACCTCTTTTAAAGCCAGCCAAGAGATATCCTGCAGCAACAGAACAAAATGTGAACTATTTGTCACGTTTGTCGATGTTTAGGAAGGGGTGAATGGCATCTCCCAGAACAGCATTTGTGCCTTGTTTGGGGAGGGAGGGTCAGTTTCTTGACCCCCATCCAGCCCATCACTGACTCTAGACGCTGGTCCAACTGCCCCCCAGTCTCCCCCTTTCTGCAAATGATTATGGGGGCTGTTTTCTTCATATATGCCTTGAATATACTGTCACACAGAACCCAGTCTCCGAGAAAGGCAAGATTCCTTTTTTAAAAAATTCGTCTTTATTGATTTAAAATATCAGCTTACATATATGTTACAAATAGTTACAACAAAATTAAACACAAA